TAAAGCGATACTAAAGTACACACACACACCACGCAATTAGCAGGCGTTTTCACTAAGTAGTTCATGCAATCATAAGAAACTTCAATATAAAAATTAGCCCTTCATCCACTTTTCTTCAGACCAAGTCTACTCATAAATACTTGTGCTTTAACCACAACAGTTTGGGTGAAGTCTACTCATAAATACTTGTGTTTTAACCACAACAGTTTGGGTAAAGTCTACTCATAAATACTTGTGTTTTAACCACAACAGTTTGGGTAAAGTCTACTTATAAATATTTGTGTTTTAACCACAACAGTTTGGGTCAAGTCTACTCATAAATACTTGTGCTTTAACCACAACAGTTTGGGTAAAGTCTACTTATAAATATTTGTGTTTTAACCACAACAGTTTGGGTCAAGTCTACACAACAGTTTGGGTAAAGTCTACTTATAAATATTTGTGTTTTAACCACAACAGTTTGGGTCAAGTCTACTCATTAACGCTTGTATCTTAACCACAACAGTTTGGACAAAGTATACTCATAAGTACTTGTGTTTTAACCACAACAGCTTTGAAAAAGCCTCATCATAAACAATTGGTTTTATACACAGGAGCTTGGTATAATTTATAGTTTTCTCTAATAAAATACAGAAATAACAGGACTAAAATTATTCCAAGTCTAAAATTGATTAGTGTACAGAGTTAATGTTGCTCAGAGCATTATAAAAATCGGATTCTGTTAATGTATATTATTAACACACAATAGTGCTGAAATAAGGATAGGTTTATGTACAGTGGTAACAAAGAATAATATTGAAAACAGAATATTTTCGAAATAAATATTATTAACACACAACATTATAGCAGTCACAATTACCTCAACATTACCTTGATATTTATAACATTAAAACACGGCAACAATAATTAGGAAGGATATGTCGTGATTACACAATATTAACGCAATCAGCATCTATTTAATCATAACATTAAATAAGACACAGCAACAATTATAAGAAAGGATATCTCATGATTTTTACTACATATTATTTCCCCGAAACCTACAAGTGTGGGGGGCGAGGAACGTTGATTAAACCAGTGGTTCTCAGTATTTTAATTCTGCGCACCCTCGGTCAGACCATTGAATCAGAGACATACACATACATGTGACTTGTTACAAAAAAGTTAAGAGTGGCTTATATTAATATATAGGCAAATCAGAATAAATAAATCGAGGGTGAGTCAACACTACGCGAGTGTTGAGTGCTGGCTAGTGGAATACTTGGGTAACTCCCCGAGACTGCTCTCTTAATTTTGAGACGAAGGTTTGTTTTTTTTTAATGTTTATATATGTTTTCGTCGCGTACCACAGGTTGGGAATATTGAACTGAATTATTAATAAAATTTCAACTGCATTAAAAGTTGATATTCACTCTAGCTATAAAATAGGAAACTAAAACTAAATCTTACTTGTAAGTAGTGAGGCGTTGTTTTTGTGCTTACACACACACACACACACACCAGCTGTTATTTTGAACTGAAAACGTCACGACTTAATCAAGACAGATCTTTATTCAGCTAGGGGTAATAAAACTGAACATTTACGCCAATTAACCACAACTACAACTCTCCAATAAATCCTGGTCATTAGGTGTTTTCCTCGTTTCGGCTTTATGTCTTAGAATTAGAAATAAAACTAAACTGTGTATTGTGCCTTTAGGTCGTACTTGGCGAATTCCTTCTTTTCGACATATTAGCAAGGCTATCAAAGGAATGCATTAGAACAAAGTGGAATAGAAATAGCTGTTTTCCTATGCTCTTCACATCAACAGCTGTTTTCTAGTTTTTCTGCCTGTACTATTTAACGTCTTCGTCCTTTTACTTCGACCTGCATCTCTTTTAATGGATGAAGTCTCCTCCTTTTCATGTGACTATAAATTAAGTACTTCGTGAATGGAACTTAAGTCTTCGTTTAAAAAGATATGGGAGTTTTGGTGGAAGAGCACAAGGTCTTACAAACCCTATAGATCAATGTTTATAGGTGTATTATGAACACGTGGTATGCTTTGTTTTTTGCTTCACCAGATCGAGAGACTGTGGGCACGTCCAAAACCCTTTATGGAAATCAATCGTACTGGAAAGTTTCATATATTATAGCTAATTACAAGACCCAAGACTTCATTTTATTTGTATGATTCAAATGTTACCTGTCGTTTGAGACAAAGTGAAACTCATGAGAGACTGTCAAAGGAAACTTCAGAACCATCGTGTATCTTAATAACAGGAGTGAAAGGTATTAAAATTCAATGCTGTTGTAAATTACCTACAATTCTACTCTTCCCAATGTTTGCACTCAAAGCTTACGTATAAAAAAAACCCGTGCAATATCGTTATTACAATAACCTGCTGAGAAAATTACCTGCGAGAACTAAAGAAAGATGAAAAGTAATCATAAATGGTTAAAATGAAGTCATTATATCTCCAGATACACAGTTATCTGTCATATTAATTAACCTACATTAGTAATCGCATCATACTCATCAGCTGGTCGTTTAATTTTACC